AAAAGAAACTGATTTCCTCATATTCTCTTCACGCATGGTCTCTGTATGGAGTCCAGTGGGGTTCACTCAGACCAGTATGTAGGCCAGGTTTAAGGAGCCAGGTGCTGAGCTTAATACCTCCAAGGCAGAGCTAAAGTTGGTAACATCAATTCTTTTTTTTTTTTCTTTTTTTGGTTGGTTATAAGGCTTGCACTCTAGGCCTGGGCACTGTCCCTCAGCTCTTTAGCTCAAGGCTAGCACTCTACCTCTTAAACCACAGTGCCACTTCCCGGTTTCTGGTGTTTTATTGGGGATAAGAGACTCACAGAGTCTCCTGCCTGGACTGGCTTTGAACTGCAATCTTCAGATCTCAGCCTCCTGAGTAGTTAGGATTACAGGTGTGAGCCACCAGCACCAGGCTCCATCAATTCTTATTCTGCAAACATCTGCTTCAAGTTTCCCTGAATTCCTGAGTTAAGGACATCCTGTCAGGTGAAAGGACATGGAGACACTTTATAGTCTCCGAGGCAGAAAACTTGATTTGATTTGCAGAACCTCTGTCAGGGACATTTCTCATAAACCAGGTTGCAAGGTCAATGTTTTGTTTACTTTCTTTCCAGGGAAATTAATAAAACTCTGGTTCTCTGATTCTCTTACTCCCCCCCCCCCCATACCCTGCCCCCAGCTACCTGTAGGCTTAAGCCCAGGGGACCTAAGCAAAGGCAAATTGCACCCCTGGGCTGTCTACCTGTGACCTGTGCAGGGAGAGGATACTCTGAGAGCTGGGCAGACGCATAGCTAGAAATTAACCCCTGAGGGTTTATAAAGTCACCTTACAGTTGTCAGCCAACATGAACTGGCATTTTAGGTGGAGCCATTGATGGCTAGGGGCTCAGGGGGCTGCAATCTGTACAACTGGGGCAGGCTACCTTTGGAAGCCACCAGTGTTTAGATGATAGAGACAGTCGATTCTCTTATATAAATACGCTGGCAGCCCCTCTCTCTTTCTACACACATCCACACCCCATTTCTAACCAAAAATTCTGATGCCAAGTCTGAAAACAGACATTCTGTAAGCAAATAGTTCATCTGATTCAGGTCACTGTGGGATGGCAAGTCATGATTCCACCTATCAAGGGACATTTCACACAAAGCAAGTACCACAACACGGCACTAACTTGTAGTTACATGACACTCAGCCATGGCCAGGAGAGACTGGCTTCTGTGAGAATGTCCTACGATGGCACTTCCCAAAAGCTTTAAGGATACTTAGCTCACTTCAAATATTTTAAGAAGTACTAATAAAATGTTTATAAATAGTTGTATAATAATATAAAAACTTATAAATAAATTTTAGTAAACCATTCAAACCAAATTCCACTCTATTCTGTTAGAGAAAGTATATCCCAAACTACTAAAAGACAGCAAGGCTTTGCATACCTTCCACGGGGCTGATTGAAGAGGGCTTTCCTAGCTAGTTTTCTTTTCTTTTTTGGTACTGGGGAATTGAACCCAGGACATTTTTGTACTTGCTAGGCAAGCCTTTTACCACTGAGCTACATGCCAGCCTCCTGGCCAGTTTTGAAAAACCATCATTGTCCCTTCAGACCAATGGTGCCAAACTCATTCAGGGAAGAGCAGATCGGTGCCCCCTATTGCTTCCTACACAGAACTACTCCATACATTTATTTTGTTTCTTCTTTGTTCTGGAAGAGCCCCCAACCACTGCCAAGACCAAGGCAACTCAGAGAGGAAGAAATTGCATGATTGTAGAAGAGAATGCAAGAAAGAATCGGCATTCATATCAACTACAGAGAATCCAGGTATGTGGAATCTGTCATCTGTTTCATCTGTGTATAGGCATTCTTTCTTCATTCCATCGAAGGACTGAAGGAGCATTTGCATACACATGCTGGATAATTCAAGACACATCAGGAGTGAACACGAACACGGAAGTCCCATGTAATTACTCCACACTGCAGGCATCCAGGAGTGCACTGCACACTTTACTAGCCACCTAGCAATGGAAACAAAGGCAGCAACTTCCAACCTCGCCAGTGACATCTGCATATCTATTTGTCAGGTTAGGGAATTAAAATATAAAAATATATCCAGCGAAGCCCAAGGCTCCTGGTCTTTGGCATTCTACACTCACAAACAGCAAGCTCACATGGTTCTACTGCTGAGTTGAGCCAGCAGACATATGGGGACAAAACCTGGGGTGCAAACCACCACCTCTCATCCCCAATGTCTGTTGGCTTCTACATTCTTCGTGAATGTTGCCACTGGTCTGGCAAAGTCTTGGTTGTCATAATCTTGGAGGGACAGGTTGCTCCTGGTATTTAGTAGGTAGAGCCCAGATAGGCTGCTAAATGCCCTGCCATGCACAGGGCAGCCCCACAACCAAGAATTACCCGGCAAACTGTCAACTGGGCTGAGGTTGAAAACGCGAGATTCATGGAAAGAAGGGCACATAGGTCAATCTGAGTTTCAATATAGATCCTCTTACTTATTTGAGAACGCCCCAGCCCTAATCTACAGTCTTGTCCATGGTTTTTCTACTCTGGAAGCCCCATATTTCATAAGAGCGTTGGTACTTGACAGGGAATCCGGAAGAATGAACAGAGAGGTATATGCCAGATCCTAGATATAATGACAAAGGAATTTCCAAGTAGGAGGTCTGTAGCCATCACTAGAGGACCAGGATGGTCGACCCGGATGTAGCATGAAGAGCTGGGCACTGCTTCAAACCTTGGAAGCCATCCCATCTCTCCACTGAGCCTGAACAAATGAGCCTCGCCAAGGAGAATGCATTTAACAGCAAAGATGGAGGACCTGCTGGAGAGGAAGGGAGCTGACCCCATAGAAAGAACATGAGGGGAAGCTGACACACAGCCATCTGATGATATCATTTAGATTTGGACACGGCCTCATGCGGGGGCGTCTCAGCTTGGACCTGCTGCACACAGGTGCAGCTGGTGTCCTCTCGGTGCCCCTCCAGCTGGGTGGCTTTCTTCCCTGCCTGTTGTCTCTTGGATGACAGAAGGTATGAGCTCAGGCCCATGGCACACACAGCCCAGTATTTAACGTAGCTGCTGGTGAATCTGCTCTATGATTTCATGCCTAGCCTTCTGTCTTTTTCCTTTCCTTTTACCTTCCCTTCTTTTCTTCCTTCTTTTCTTGTTCATTTTTTTTTCTTTCCTTTCTGATATGTTACCTGTCTTCTAAGATCATCTGGAGCAGACATCTCACAATGATAAATGAATAAGGAAACTCAGCTTCACTCTCGAGTCTCACTACCCTCCTTCTGTGATTCCTAGAACATAAACTCAGATAACATGGCAAGGTTGGTCATGTGTTTGTACAAAGCTGATAAGCTGTGCTCCAGCCTGGCAACGTGATTGGCAGATGCTGCTTGTCTGTGCTCACCCAACCTGAAGGGCACCCGAGAAGTTCATCGGACCTACGTGAGGTCTGCCTCTGTTCCCACAAGGAGACATTTCACAGAGAAACAAGAACAACATTTCGTGCATTTCTGTATCCACTAATGGAGATACAGAAGAAAACTTTCATTGTAGATTCTAGGCTGTTTATCTGGAAAGGAATGAGGCTGAAAGCCCCCTCCATAGCAGCCATCCACAGAGTTTCCTCAGCGGGCCTCTGGGAGGATGATTAAAGGTAATAGTTTGAACACGTGCTTGGAAATCATTCGGTGTGTTAACCACAGCAGATTCTTCTTCCTGTGTTAATTCCTGAGCCCTACTGAGTCAGACATCCTTTGAGTTACTTTATATATTTCATGATCTTCAAAGGAAAGCTCTTTTATTAAATCTATAATTTTTTGTGCATTCCACCAGCACTTTCTTCTAGTGTCTACTTGTTTCATAGCTCTCTCACTGTTCAAGATGCATCGCACTTATAAAATGACATGTTGAAACCCATTGCATATCTGCCTACTGATAATAAATAACATACTAGCCATATAGTAGATAACAGCAACAGATACTAATAATCAATTTATATATGTTTTCTGTATATCATACAAACAATGATCCTCTACACTACTGTCTGAAAGTACGAACCAATCAAAGGGAAAATAAAACAGGATTACTTCAAGCAACATAAACTCTGATTTTAGATAAATGGGAGAGCAAACATGCTCCCATGTGGTTTCGATTGCTATGCAAATCTGCTCCTCTAAGTCAGACTGGCTCATAAAATACTTTCTAATAGATTTCCTGGCCTGGCTGATCCTGTTTATCATACATCGGAACTAATCTGGCTATGCATTACTAATACCCTTCTTTCGGTGCCCTACTTCAGAAAGTTATCTCAAAGCTATATGAATTTGAGGACTGCAAAGGCAACTTGCTAATGGATGCAGGCCTCCGTCCACGTGTAGTGTCTGAATGAAACCTGCAGCTCTCCTCCGTCCCTGAGAAGACTAGCACAGTCACAGGTGGCTTTCAGATGAGATCACGTTTAGACAGAACCTTCCAGAACTCTGTGAACCATAGCAGGAGGCAACCGCACCACCAGCCTCTTGCTTTCTCTCTGGATGCTGCTCATGTGGGATGGGGAGGGCAGGTGAGATTGGGGGGGGAGGACAGGGACACAGCTGTTTGTTTCATAAGGAGAAGGAGAACCCTCCCCGCAGATTAGAGATGTTTGCTTTTACTGGCTCCTTGCTTCTCAGCCACTAAGATTACAAATGATATTAGCAGTTTAAAACATGCATTAAATTATGTGGTCTTCTTGAAAAATCTCATCACACTATTTGTCCCCCTGATTTCTCCTAAGGATGAATTTGGATGAAAAGCTCCCCCTGTATCCCCATAGTTAGAGGCTAGCAGCTGATGATGTTCCGCGTCCCCAGGGAGGTGAGAGACCTCCCCCCTCCCCCACCCATCTTCTCCCTGCAGAATCAAAAATATGCCGAAAACTTACAACACTGTTTTTCTCATCGGCACACAAAATGCCAAACTAATACAAATAGCACATTTCCAAAAGAATGAACTTAC